TCATTGTTGTTTGGCGGGCCCGGGCTGGGGATTCAAACCCGCCACCTTAGGTGTATGTGGCTGGCGCCTTAGCCAGCCACAGACGCCGAGCCTATTTCCTCTTCTCTTGAATCTAGGCTGGACCTGTGACTTTTTTGTCCACAAAAATGTGGCATAAGTGATCATGTTTTAGTTCAAAGCCTATCCCTTAAGAAAGAGCTTTAATGAGACTACTATACTGTCAAAAAACCTGAATAAGTCACGTGAAGAGAACTCAGGAAACTTGGCCAATAGCCTCAGTTCAGATGCATTAAGTGACTTCAAGCAAGACAAGAACTAACTATCCAGTGAACCCACAGAATCATTAGAAATGACAAATCATTATGGTTTAAGTTTTGTGGTGGTTTGCTGGATAGTAACAGGGAACTGAAAGTGGGTCCTAGCAAAGGCCTTGGTACACTCTCACCTGTTCCAAGGTGGCTCCTTCCCCTTACCTGCTGCTGCTTCATGTGACTTTTCTGACCTCGAAGAGTTCTGAGACCTAATGACCACAAAGTTAGTTCAATCCTCCTCTTATTTGCACTTCACATCCTATTGTTGGGCTTCTAATTGATCCCTAGTCTACAAGCAACTCCTCATCTAGGACAAGATAAGACCTGGGTGGCAGGTAAAAGGGTATTTGACCTTCTTAGTTCTGTCTGAAATTCTGTTCACCCGGAACTGTGACCATACCTATTACAGAATTAGAGATTAAGTGTGGGTTAAAAGACCCAGGATTCCTCTGAGAAACCTGAGGTGTGGGTACTTGCACATTATGGCACCAAAAGAAACCCTAAACCTTTCCAGTTTATGAACACTCCTCTTACCAGAATCTGGTACCAGAATCTTGAGCCATCCCCAACATACCCATATTGACTTTGGAAAAACAAACAGATTTTTTTTAAGCTCTAGTTTTGTTTCTTTTGCACCAGCTGCTTCCCCAGTTAGTCCCTAAATGTAGGCATTCTTTCCTTTCTCAGTCTCCCATCCTCTAAACAGACATCCAAGCTGCCGCTAGAGATCTTACACAAAAGGACAGTGTTTCTGTCGGCTCCCCACCAGCTCTAGTCTCACCTTAGCTAAATTGTAGGAGCAATGGGGAACTTCTAAAAACACTGAGGTTCTCAAAATCAGAAATTATGATTTAATGGGTCTGAGGAACAGCCTGGGTATTAAAGTTTTAAGTGTCTCAGTGTGCAAAGTGAAGCATCACTGACCTGGAGAATGGAGGCCAAATGTCTCTGCAGTCTATATAAGCTTCTTCCCACCTCTTTGGCCTGACCTACCACTCTTGCTTAAACTCAACCCAATGCCACAGCCACCTAAATTACTCCTCTAAGATGCCTTTGCACAGGCTATTCCCACTTCCAGGAATTCTCTTCCATATCAGAAAAACTCCCTCACATATTCAAGAAACAATGCAAAAATCATCTCTTCCATAAGCCTGTCTCAGCTTAGTGAGGACATGCCACTGCTCTAAGAACATGACTTACATTGGGACCCAGTCAGCCACCCAAGCAAAACTTGTCCTGTTGGACATATCAGGTAGAGGAACAAAAGGCATCGAAATAGAATTCAAGGAAGTGGCAGTGATAACCCTCGATAGGATGCTAACCTTGGACATGTCACCTCCTGCCCTGGGCCACAGCCCTGATTCTATCTACTTCCCATATCAAAGGCAATAACCTTCTTAGATCTTCAGGTTACAGGATATAGTTGCTATCAGAGGGCTCAGTGGGATGTGAAGGAAAGCAAGAGGGCAACATCTTAAGAAAGAGCTTTCATGAGACTACTATACATCCTACCTGAGCCCTCCTAGTGCCCCAGAGCTAGACAGTTAATTCTGATGATTAAACAATTATTTCTACATTACAGTCAGCAATGTCCAATCTGAATAGAGAACAACAATCTTCCAAGGCTACCAGGGATTCTTTTTGCCTCCTTCCTATTCTGTACTCAAGCTGAGAAATGTCAAAGGGACAGGGATAAGTATATCCCTTAGCTCAGAACATGATAAGGACTCCAAAAAGGGGAGATATCCATCCTTGTCTCCAGCATGAGAACTAAAGGATAGGAAAAGGAGAATTGGCTCCCTGCCTCCTGAATAGGGCTAGACAATGTATTGATTTCGATCTGAAGCTCCAGAGACTCTCCAGCTTGTACAGGAAGCCAGGAGCCCTGGAGCTCTGTTTCCTTAGAACTCTTCAGGGCTTTAGAGAGGGGCCCCAGTTCTGTTCCTGATCCTTCAACTACTCTGTGTTTTCTAAAGGAGAACCGGAGGAGAGGGGGGTGCGGGAGGGGGAATAATTGTGACTCATGCTCATGGTCATCTCTCAAGTCCTCATGCAAACAGACATCTGGGCCCAGCTGGCTTGCTTAGTAAATATTTGACGGGAAAATGATGTATGGTAGATTAGTCCAGCTGAAGCATTCCAAGAAGAATTCTGAGAATCTGACAAAGGCAAGTCTCAAAAGGCAGGGACTTTTCCTGCCCTCCACTATGTCCTGGGATTCTACTGTCCCTCAAAATTCCAACCCCAAACAAGTATATACTCTACTTACCAAAGAGAGGGTCATAAGCGATGGTGCTTAAACGTTTATTTGAAGTGCCCTGGATCCCTGGACCATTCCTGGCTTTATTTTTAGCCTCCTAAAACCCACACAAGGAGGAATTGAATTAGGACTTTTGGAAGTGAAGAAAATGTTTTCAAAAAAAATAAAACAGTGGCTCTCAACCTGTGGGTCACAACCCACAGGACCTGTATTAAAGGGCCGCGGCATTGGGAAGGTTGAGAACTACTGGTCTAAAGGAAGGAATAGAACATCCACAACCAGACAGAAGAAATGTTTTGCCTTTATAACCAGAGAACTGGGAGACTCCCTCCCACCTCTCAATACCGCCTTGCCCATTCCGGGCTGCACCCACTTCTGCCAGTCCCAGTAGGTCCCACTCTACCTTAGTAGGTGTTTGCACCCTCCTCTGTTGCTGCTGCTGCTGTTCTTGCTGCCGCTGCTGTTCTTGCTGCCACTGCCGCTGCCGCTCCTTCTTGTGACCTGGTGACCAGAGCACCAGGTCTATCCTCTTCTCACTGGTAGTCCCTGCCCTCCCACAGGGCTTCCTGCTTGCCCTGTTCCACATGGTGATTCTCTCCCTGACCAGGATCAAGTGGGGTGGGGGAGGGGAGGGTTTCTAAACCCAGAGTATCCTGTGTTCTACATGTGACCCTGTAGGCTATGGCCATAAATATAACTGAATCAGACCAAGTTGAAGTATGACATCTGTGGGCTGACGGAGGAACAGTACTTAAAGATCCAGCAACACCAGCAAATCCATCTTCTGTCTTCAGGTTACAACGTAATTTCTTTGAAAATTCAGGGTATCGCAATGCTGGTCTCTGAAGAAAAAAGAAGAAAAGATCTATGTGGGCCTTTCCCTTTCCCCCAAATGCATTTATTATGGAGTCAACAAGCACATTTTGAGAACCCAGTGTTTGGTAGCTTTGTGCCAGGACTGTGGAAGAAGGACAAAGGTTGGGGGAACAAAGTGCAGAAGAAACGGAGAACACTGCTCTTCTCGAACCCTTCCCCACAGATCGGCTTTCACCAACCTGCAATCCCAGCCTTCTGTGGGACTTGGGTCTAAAATGGAAGGGCAAAAGAGAAAGGAGGAATAAAAAGTCAACTCTTCCAACCTGGAAGAGTCTTCACAAAGAGCTCTTCCTCTGAAGCTCCCTAGTTCTCACCTGCAGGGTGAGGCGGTGTACAGACAGAAACATCTTAGAGGAAATTGCACTGTCAGGTCGGTTCTTTTCCAGGGGAAGACTCTTTTTCATCATAGCTAATTGTATCTTCATCTCGGGAGACAGCATGGTTTTCCCTTCATCTGACAGAAGTCTGAAGGGGACAGAGATAGCCAGACAGTCAGCAACAGCTCTTCTTGGGTGTGTGGCTAAGGACAAAGAGAGGACAATGGCTCCAGATTAGAGAACTTTCCTCTTTGGGTCTGAAAAGGCCCGTACCAACAGTGCTCACTTGGCAACACCTTTCAGACGCAACGATGATCAGCATAGCTGCATTTATTGTTTATTCTATGTCAGGCTCATGTGCTTCATACCACTGAATCTTTATAACATCTGAAGACAGGTATTATTATCCTCATTTTTTAAGTGAGGAAAATGAAGCTTAAAGAGGCTAAATAAATTACCAAAATTCACAAACCCAATTAAGTTTCAATATAAAAGTCAAAGGTCATCTCACGCTAAACCACATTTACCATTCTGCCTCCCACTTATTCATAATTCATCTATAAAAAGAAGAGAGTAGTAGTGTGTACTTCCTGGTGGAGATTTAGTGAGAGTACATGTACTGTGCTTGGCACAGGGCCTGGCAGATAGTAAGTACTTGATAAGTGGTCGTGGTTCTGATTGTCATCACTGGGCGGCACCTGTGGCTCAGTGAGTAAGGCACTGGGCCCCATATATTGAGGGTGGCGGGTTCAAACCCTGCCCCGGCCAAACAGCAAAAATTGTCATTACTGCCTGTTGGTAAATCTAAGAATACAGTAAAGAAGTAGGGTGATAGTTTTCTCCCCACCCTATCGCGAAAGAGCTCATGCTTAGACCCTTCTCAGTTTGATGAGAGGCAGGTGCCCTTTCTCTCCCACAGACCTACATGGTACTCACTCCTCCAGTAGGTCCTGAGGTAACACATGGAATGGGTCCCACGAAGGTATGCAGTCTGAAGCTAATTGCTCAGACAATGGTACTGGGGTTGGGGGAGGCACAATCATCTTTAGCATTCTTGACTGTGTTTCTGGGTACTGCTTTCTAGAGAAACTCGGGGATGAACCCTTTTTCTGGAACAGAAACAATGTAAAGAACTCTCTAAAGCAATTCCATTTCTTCCCATCAACATTCTAGCCTCCCAACACAACCCAGCATGGGAAATTTGTGTCCAGACGTTCTCCAGTCATTCTTGCCTCCTCTGAACTATGAAGGCAACCACATTTTTCACTCTCAGGTTCCCAACCCTATTGTTATATGTCCTATTCAGATCATACAAGGATTAGTTGTTTTGTTGTGTTTTTCCAGAATGGACACCTTTTATTCACTCAGCAAACTGAACAAATATTTATTGTCTAACTATGTGACAAGCACAAGGTGAGGGGTGGGGATTCAACAACAATGAACAAAATAAACCAAAACATGACTCTCATGGACATGGCAATCTTACAGCTCTATGACTTATCCAAAGTCACATTTACCCACAAATGGTAGCATTAGAATTAGAAGCCTGGGCCTTATAACTCCTGGTCCATTGAAATTCTATCCCATTACATTAGGGATTAGTTTTTAAGTGACCAAAAATTCTCCCCAAATACCCAACAGTTCCTTCTGTTATCTCAAGGTCCTCATCATCTCCCTAGAGGGAGAAGATAGGGAAAAGTTTTCTTTAAATAGAAAATGGCTTGGTAATTATTCATAAAGAAGGATTTTCTTTCACAGATTTTGTTCATTTAGAGAAAGAATGGGGGTGGGAGAGACCTGAAAGGAAAATAAAAATAACTCCACATAAGTAAATATCATAAACGTTTAGACAAAACAACTCACGCCTGCCCATGTCTTCACTTTGTTCTTCCTATGCTGGCTGGTCAAATCACGCTTCTCAGGTAGACTTGAAATAAGAACAGGCACAACTTATTCCCAGACATCTTAAATAGAAGCACCATGGATATTTGTGAATGATGACCATGATGATTCCTATCTATATAATCAGCATTCAAAGGCAGCTGGTTGGAAGCTCAGCAGTACCTGCTGCCTGTGTCTTATTACTAAAAAGATCCCCCATCCTCCCATCTAAATTAGGTTCTTGGCCAGAATGCAGTCATTCATGCCTGTAACTTCAGCACTTCACGAGGTTAAGGCAGGAGAATCATTTGAGGCCATAAGTTCAAGACAGCCCTGGGTAACACAGTGAGACCTCATCTCTACCAAAAACATAGAAGTTAGCCATGCATAGTGGTGGGCACCTATAGTCCCAGCTACTTGGGAGACTGAGGCAGGAGGATCACTTGAGCCCAGGAGTTTTAGGTTGCAATGAGCCAAGATCACACCACAGCACTCCAGGCCTGGCAATAGAGCAAGACTGTCTCAAAAAACATTTTTCTGAGACAGAGTCTTACTTTGTTGCCCTCAGTAAAGTGCCATGGTGTCATAGCTCACAGCAACCTCAAACTCTTGTACTCAAGCGATTCTCTTGCCTCAGCCTCCCAAGTAGCTGGGACTACAGATGCCCACCACAATGCCCAATTATTTTTAGAGATGGATCTTACTCTTGCTTAGGCTGGTCTTGAACTCCTGAGCTCAAGCAATCCACCCACCCACCCTCCCAGAGTGCTAGAATTACAGGAATGAGTCGCCAAGCCCAGCACAAAAAAAATTTTTTAAATAAATTAAGTTCCTCATCATTCAGGCAATCCAGTTATTTACTTACATAGCATGAATCCAAATTAGAAATGATATACTTAGGTGTGATTATGTTTGTAACATCTGACACCACCCCACCCCACCCCTCCTTTGTCACTCTGTAAGGCTCCAGGAAGACAAGAACCAAATCTATTTGCATCTCCACTGGATCCTCATTGCTTAGCACAAAGGAAGGGGTGAAGAAGTATTTTTTGTTCTGTCCCCTTCCTCCTCCTTGCCTGGGACATGGATATGACAGCTGGAGCTCTAGCAGCCAACTTAGACCTAAAAAGCACTCATGAAACACTGGAGAAGATGGAAGCCATGGGCTAAGGACAATGGCCTAGAAACCTAGAAGGAGTCTGGTTTCTGATTATCTCATGGAGCTGACATACTGGCCCTGGCTTGTGGCCTTCTGGGCATCCAGTAGGACTGCAAAGAACAGAGGTTTTTTTTTGTTTTTTTTTTTTT